CTCTCTCTCTCTCTCTCCTCGGCCCCTTTTCTCTCCATCCGCTTTCCTTCTCTTCTCCTCCTTGCGGAACAGTTCCAATTACTCAATTGGCAGATAGTCAAAGAAATGAAAAACAAGGGGAAATATATGGGGGGTTGCTAGGGGAGGGTAGTATATGGGAGCGGTGATGAGACAGAGAAAAATAAGAAACAGAAATAAAAAAAAAGGGGGGGGGGGGACAAGAAACAGAAATGCTGGGAAGGATGTATGTAAGGAAGTAGGTAAGGATGATAGATGATATAATGTGGTCAATGGAGTTAAAAGAAATAGATAGGGAGGGAAAGGAAAGAAAGGGAAAATAGAGGCAGTTTTGTCCAAAACGGAGAGGATACATATCATGGCTCGCCGAGTAGACGGGCAGTGATGTCGCCCATGTATGCTTCTTCGAGTTCGTAGTCGTCACCGTCCATGGGGTCGATGCCAACATATTTGAAGGCAGAGACAACCCGAGGAACATCGAAGCCCATGCTGCAGAAACGGTCGATAAGATCTTTGTTGTATCCCTCGTACCTATGCCATGTTAGTTACTCTAGAGTATGAGGGAGGGTACAATTCGGAAAACGTACGCGGCCAGCTTCTCTCGCTGCTCGTCTTCTTTAGCCTTGAGAGCCTTTCTCCTAATCGACTCATCCGTAGCGCCGCCGCTGCCTTCTCCAGTATGTCTCCGTGGGGCCCCGGCGTGCATCACAGCCCATTCCCTAGCAACTCGTTCAAACTCCTTTGGGTCTGAGAGAAGCATTCGAGCAACCTCTGCATCCTGAGGGTCTCGGGGCTCGGGTGTGCTAAGCAGGGACTGGAGCGAAAGAAGAGCCGATTTTATCGTCAAAACCGGTGACCAGGCAGACGAGAGTGTGTCCAAGCAGATGGCACCCTAGACAGCAGACATTCCATTAGCATTCTCTCTTCCTTAATATTGTACGCAGTATTGTATTTTTTTTTTATCCGGATTATGGAGAGATATACCGTCTGACTACTGATATTTGGGTGCCAGACCCGAGTGTCGAACTTCATAACTGGCGGACGGAACGGGTACTCGGTTGGAATTGTTATGTCAACCTTGAACGTCCCGCCTTCGTAGGCAGTGCCAGGCGGCCCGGGAAAGCTGCCCTTTAGGCGTGTGAGGTCATCTTCCGAGATAGGATCTACCGTGATTTGCGAGTGGCGGTCGGCGTGGATATCGGCGATTTCCTTGGTGATCCGGCGGGTGCGGTTGGAAGCCATGATGCGATGTGATATCAGGCTGACCACTGCTGTCTCTGGGAAGCCCTCTCGTTGTGCACTGATAGCTATATGACGTTGGCAGCGGTGATGGGCGCTGGGGAGCGGGGGAGCTAGACAAGACAGCCTTGGAGCAGTTAGAGACAGATGGTACGACCAGGCAGCGCCAGACAAGACAGAGACACAGCCAGCTAGCAGAAGAGGCAGGGAGAGAGCGAGGCTCAAATTGGAGGAACGGAGGGCCTGAGTAGCTACCTTTATATCTGGGCCTGGGATGCGGCGGACGGGGACAAGCCAAGGGGACTGCAGGCGTGTGCGAGACTGTGAGTCAAGGCAGCAGGCGCCGAGCGGTTTCGCCGGCCTCGCTGTGCTGCGGTGGTGGTGGTGAGTTATGTGACAGGCTGCGGGTGTGAGGGAGATCTCCGGCGTCTGCCTGGCTGCGTGACGTCGTCGCGGGTTGGCGGCCTAAGGGGGGTGCGGGATAGCGATGTCTGCGGTCCCTTTCGGCTCTGCTGGATAGGGGATCGAGGGTTTGCTGGCTTGCTGGTCTGGTCGTCTGGTTCGGCGGCGGTGATAGTCGAGGGTTGGGCAGGGCGAGTGGTTGGCCGGTGACCTCACCTGCGACTAGCTCGCTATTTAGCTTAGGTCGTTATTTAACTAAATTTAGCTAACCGCCCGAGGCTGCTGCAAACAGTTGACGTGTTAGGCGGGTCGCCTCATTTTGGCTTGAAAGTACATCAGGGGGGAGACAATAATAGCGTTGTATTAACTATTAGGTAACGGAGTGAATACAACAAGTAGTTAGTTAGTTGTCTAGATGAGTTGCGAGCCCTGTTTCTGGCTAATATCACACACGCTGGATCCTCGCTCTGCCCGGCGGGCCTCTACAAACCGAGTCGAGGCTTCAAACTCGTCCCTCTCCTCGCCCTCCAAGCTGGCCAGTCCCGCTTCTCGCAGCTGGGAGAAGTATTCCACGGCATCGTCAAAGTCTTCCACGGTGGTCCAGCCGTCTGACTGGACTCGGCTCTGCAGCATCTCCCAGAAAGCCTGTGCCGCGCTGTAGCCTTTTGACTCTTCGCTGTGTTCAGCGCGCTCTTTGGGCGAGAAATGATACGGGCATTCGCCGGTTTCAAAGATCTTTGGCCAATCCCTAGGGCATCTCTGCTAGCATTTACCCAAATTCATGACCAATTTGCTATATACCTTTCAACGTCAATCAGAGTGTCCCTCAGGGGTACGATGTGGTCATCCCATGAGTTTCCAGCAAAGCTCACGAGCTGAGCCAATGTTTTCCCATGGGGTTTCCTAATTGCCCTGTCAAGAAGAGGGTTGACTCTTGCCGTCCGGTCCTCATAAAGGTATACCTGGATAGACCGTTGGACCTGGTCTCTGACACGATCCCTCTCTTCTTCGGGCAGCGTTTTAAAGTCTTCGGGAAGTCTCAATTGGATCTCTCCATGGTAATCGATCAATCGAGGGGTTCTGGCCTGGAGAAGCAAAGGCGCAATCCAGACAGACTGCCAGTCAATAATGCTGGATATCCTCCCATCCTGGACAAATATATTGCCATCGTGGATGTCAGGATGCCAGAGTGCTGGGCGAACAAGCTCGGTATCATCGGGAAGGAGCCTCGAAACAACAGATAGGTATTTCTCCAATAAGCCGAGGTGGTCCTGGGGTGATTTTTGACTTCCTTTGCCCCTGGGGTAGCCAGATATGATGGAATCCCTCCGTGCATACTGGGAAATCCAAGCAGTCTCGCGATGGGCTATGGACTCCACATATCCACTAGCAGATTTCCCTGCACCAAAGCAAAAAAACATTTAGTCAAGGACAAATGTCAATTAAATCAGGTTCGTAACTCACAAGGTCCTCGGTCCAGATCCATCAGTGCTCGCTCCTTTTCCCAAAACTCCCGGCGAGTCGTAGGGCCGATGACGAATTGCTTTCTAACCTCATCCTCAATCCCTTGTGCGACATCACCACTGATATATGCCGGCTGACAGCCAGGGAAAGTGTCTTTGGAAAAATATAGTGACCCACACCTAATATGCAAATGTTTAGTACCGCTTCCTGCAACCTAGTGACAGGGCTATACGTACAAGCCAAAGGTCACGGAGAGAAGTTTCTGCTCTATTGAAACAATATCATCGATTATTTCACTCCTATCATCTAGTTTCATTTCATCCCACATTTGAGAGAGCGGGGTCCCTTTAGCCTCTTCCATAACGATATACTCTGCACCTACAGAGTTATCAGAAGATGCAGACCATGCTAGCACTTTAGGGACTGGTATTTTGAGCATTGATCTGGCCTACGCACTACGGTCAACTCTTGCAGATTTTTGCCGGATATTCACGGTGCGGGAAAGACTGACAAATTCCATAGTAGCAACCTCCGACATAGTCGTATACCGAGGCGGACCAGCATTTGGATGGGGGATTCGAGCTATTGCTACCGCTCCGTCATCCATCACGAGTCGGAAGACTTTGTTGAAATTACCTTCTCCAATCTTGGACATTGAAACACATGCTTGAGAGCCCAGTGTATGTGCAGTTATGGCCTGTAGCTCTCGTACATTGAATCTCCGGTATCGTTCAAGTAGCTGCTCCTTCTCTCTCCAAAGCCATCGCCCCGTGGTATAGTTGAAAAGGTCCGCTGTACTATGCTCTTCCGAAATTCTACTCTTGAAACCCCTTAGAAATGGTCGCGGTCTCACGGAAACCATCCTTTTTGGGACTTTCTGCGGTAGAAGTATTCGCAGTACATCCATTGGGTATCTTAATTTGAGGTTTTACCGGAGAAGAGGAGTATTGTTTCAGTATATCAGACGGTAAAGGTACAGTAAATAGGAGAACAGCCTCTTAGTCAAGTCCGTTCGGGGGTGTGTCCGCAAACTCGCTTCCCCTAAGAATCAGTAAAAGGGGTATAATAACAGTAAACAAAAAGGCAACTTCCTTGTCATTACGATTTATATCCCCATAAGGTATCTTCTCATGCATATAATAAAAGAATCTCGGGTATATATAGGAGAACAAGATTTCAATTGGCACTATTTGCTCCAGGTAGTGGGATCTCTTTTTTTCTGGCCATTTTTCAGTTTATCCATCTTTTCCAATTTTTATTTGCGTTTCTTGTTGTTGTCGTCGAGACTTGATGACTCAGCAGTTAATCGGATTATTATTCTACCATTCCGTAGGTGTGATGACTAATGTCGACTTACTAATCACAGCTCAAGCTGGAGCGACAAGCACGGCGAAGCTCCAAAGTTGAACAACGTTGACATCCCGATCGACCTCTCAATAACATCGTCCCGTACCCCTAAAAGACTCGACGGCGCAGGCGGGGACTGGCTTTTGCGGCCTATTACATTTCAATATATTTGGAACCAGCTCAGGAAACAGTTGATACGCCGAGTGGGCGTTTAGCGTGTCACGATGGTATGTTTGCCTTCCGATCTGATTTCTCTCAAGAAGAATACTAAGTCATGGCTCAATAGGGAAACCAACCGTCTAGCATGGGCGGCCAAGGAGGAGAAGGCAAAGATGACAAGGACAAGAAGGTATATCTTCATTTTTACGCCATGTTCAAGTCTTCATCGGAACATTCACTTACCAGGCTCAACAGAAGGAGAAGCCAAAGTACGAACCACCGCCACAGCCAACCACACGTATCGGGCGAAAGAAGCGTAAGCAACAAGGTCCAAATGCCTCTGCCAAACTACCATCCATTTATCCGACTTCAAGATGCAAGTTAAAATACCTTCGCATGCAGCGCGTGCATGACCATCTCTTGCTTGAAGAGGAGTACGTGGAGAATCAAGAACGTATTCGCAAATCCAAGGCCCAGGCTTCGTCAACTCAGCCGTCGACGGACGATAACAACAGTGCTCTGGACAGAAATGCGGATGAGCGAGGCCGGGTGGACGATATGAGAGGCAGCCCCATGGGGGTGGGAAACCTGGAGGAGATGATCGACGATGACCATGCGATTGTTTCCAGCGCGACAGGGCCGGAATATTACGTCTCTATAATGTCCTTTGTCGATAAGGACCTGCTAGAACCGGGAGCCAGTATTCTACTTCATCACAAGTCAGTCTCGGTCGTTGGTGTTCTCACGGACGATGCCGATCCGCTTGTCTCCGTTATGAAGCTGGAGAAGGCGCCCACGGAGTCGTACGCAGATATAGGTGGTCTAGAATCACAGATCCAAGAAGTGAGAGAAGCTGTCGAGCTGCCATTACTTCACCCAGAACTCTATGAAGAGATGGGAATCAAACCCCCAAAGGGTGTCATTTTATACGGTGGACCGGGAACAGGAAAAACTCTTCTTGCTAAAGCTGTTGCCAACCAAACGAGCGCTACTTTCCTGCGAATCGTCGGTAGTGAACTTATTCAGAAGTATCTCGGTGACGGACCCCGCCTTGTCCGCCAGATCTTCCAGGTCGCTGCTGAACATGCCCCATCCATCGTTTTCATTGACGAGATTGATGCAATTGGTACGAAACGTTACGACTCTACTTCTGGCGGTGAGCGAGAAATTCAGCGTACTATGCTTGAACTTCTCAACCAGCTTGATGGTTTCGATGATAGAGGTGATGTTAAAGTCATCATGGCCACGAATAAGATCGAGTCCTTGGACCCTGCACTTATCCGTCCCGGCCGTATTGACAGAAAGATTCTCTTTGAGAACCCTGACCGTAAGTTGAACCCTTCCCCCAGAATCAACCATTGAATGCACACTAACGGGCCTTTAGAAAATACCAAGAAAAAGATCTTCACCCTCCATACTTCCAAAATGTCTTTAAGCGAAGACGTCGAACTCGATGAATTCATCACTCAGAAGGACGATCTCTCTGGCGCAGATATCAAAGCCATATGTTCTGAGGCAGGTCTTATGGCCCTTCGTGAACGCCGTATGCGTGTACAAATGGCAGATTTCAGGGCAGCTAGGGAACGTGTCATGAAGACCAAGCAAGAAAACGAGCCCGAGGGACTTTACTTGTAGTCCTTCCTTTGCTTCTATGCGCCGCCTATCTGTATAATATCATTCAAGCAAGCTCTTTTTGCAAGCTCATAAATTGATATTAGACCATTCCATTCAAACACATTTCACATTTCACCTACTCCGTATAGTACAGGCTTAGTGTGGCATCCTCACTCACTCCGTTGGGTAGTTTATATGAAGCCAAGGGTCGTTGAAGAGTTCTCGCGTATTACTTCGCTCCTCTGGCTTCCACTCGATCATTCTTTTCACAATCTTAAAAAACACATCCTTTTCCTCCCCTGTGGCTGTTGGGATGGTGTTTTCGAAGATGGACTTTTCATTAGGCCATAGTGCCGTTCTTAACTCTCCCAGGCATTGACTACATGCAAATCCAACCACTAAGAGAACGTAGTTACCTACACCCAGTTTCTGGTTTATAAGACGGAGAAGTCCACTGCCCGTTATCGAGTAGCCGTATTGGGGGCGGGTCTAAAGGCTGCAATATATGCAAGATGGGTTGCGTGATCATATCGATACTCGGGTCCTCACGGTCAAATCGTTGAAAAGTGTTTTCCTCTCCAAGAGATCCCTTAACTTTTGTTTGGGGATTAGCAGTGCGCCTTCACCCAAGATTCAAATCTCACTGCTATATGTATAACCTGCGTCAAGAATAACCTCAGGAGACAGCAGATTTCAGCTTCGATTAGTCCTAAGTTTGGATGTCCTCTATAACAACTAGGCCAAAATCTGATCATAGTTCAGATGATGGTCTTGACATTTCCCTCATAATCGTTGCTAGATAGGTAAATAATTTGCCAAGTCAGTTGGGGTTGTTTGGGCCGTAGTGAGAAAAAGACTAGGTACTCCATACTCCATAATGGGAAATTTAGAATTCCGCGGCAAAAGTGGGTCTTACAAGAAAGGCGCTTAAATGTTAACCTTATTTCATGCACGTGATATCTAAAGTTTAATTATGCAAACAGCACAAACTTAACAAGTCAGGCAACTTAGCTCGTTCGTTATTTCTCGCCTCTCAAAGTTGATAAGACAGCTTTAGCTTACATTTCTAGAGTCAGTCTATCAGTTACACCATGGAGGGATTCGATGAGGAAGAGTTTAAGAAGTTTTTCCCCAGCGGCTTTGGGAAACAGACGAAAGAAGCCGACATCAAGACCCAGATTGATCGAACGAAGCGAAAGGAGCCTATCGAAACACCCGGCGCGCGAACAGCAGAAAAGCCGGCAAGCCCTTCGCAGGAAGCCGCCGACGATAAAGATGGCGGAGATTCGGACTCAGACTCAGATTCTGATTCACCAGAGGATGAATTCCCAGTTTCCCATAACCTCGTCTTTAAAACGCACGATCGAGCTGTGACGACGATAACACTCGACACCGCTGGAGCGCGAATGATCACGGGTTCGACTGACTGCACAGTTAAATTCCATGACTTTGCATCATTAACACCTTCAACATTACGGGCGTTCAAGTCGGTCGAACCAAATTCAAGGAAAAACGCAACCTCTTCATCCGAGATACATCCTGTTCACATTGCGAAGTTCAACCCCATTTCCCCCAGCCAGTTCCTAGTGGTATCGGCCACGCCGCAAGCAAAGATTCTAAGCCGAGATGGCGACACTATTGCGGAGTTTGTGAAGGGAGACATGTATTTGAGGGACATGAAGAACACGAAGGGCCATATATCTGAAGTTACCAGCGGGACCTGGAGTCCAACGGACTATAACTTGTGCGTCACTGCCGGCACTGACAGCACACTACGTATCTGGGATGTCAATGATCCTAGAAGCCAGAAGGAAGTCATTGTGCATAGATCAAAAGTGGCTGGGTCTGCAGGTAGGAGTAGGATGACAGCGGTTGCCTGGGCATCGCCTACGCAGGGAGGACCAAATGCTCTGATAGCAAGCGCTCTTGATGGCAGCCTTGTTATGTGGGGAGGAGATGGACCTTTTACCAGACCGAGTGCCGAGATCAAAGATGCACATACGAAGGATTCATGGATCAGTGGGTTGGATATCAGCCCAGATGGACGGCTGGTGGTCACCAAGGGAGGAGACGACCTGATTAAGCTGTGGGATACCAGGAAATTCAAACAGCCGATAACGACTGTCTCACACGTATCTGGATCAAAGTTTCACCCGACTTCTAATATCCAATTTTCTCCAACTGGAGCGAACATCGTGACGGGTTCTGAGACCGGACATCTACATATACTGAATCCTGCTACCCTCAAACCCGAGCTGGTCACTCTTGTCACCCCCGACTCACCCCTGATTTCCGTCTTATGGCATGAAAAGCTCAATCAAATCGTCACTGGATCTGCTAACGCGGAAACGCATTTACTATATAACCCGTCCCTCTCGCATAATGGAGCTCTCACGATAATGTCCAAGGCACCAAAGCGACGACATGTCGACGACGATCCAAACTTTACAACTGACATCTCTCTCGGTTTCTCGGGCGAGGGCATTGTTAACGGCAGCGGAATCGCAGCAGCTAGTCTTGCAGCTAGGCACCCCAATGTTGGACTCACAGCTTCAGGGAGATCAAGAGATCCTCGCCGGCCTCACGTTCCGGCCCAGACGCCCTTTGCCAAAAGCCAGCCTGACGAGAAACACATCCAGGACAACATACCTCTCAGTTCGATGAGAGATGAGGATCCTCGCGAGGCACTTCTCAAGTATGCCGAAGCAGCCGAGAAGAATCCTATATTCACCTATGCATGGAAAGACACCCAGCCCAAGACTATCTACGCCGAGCTGAGTGACGACGAGGAGGAAACCAAGGGGAAAGGCCCTGACAAGAAGAGGATAAAACGGAACTATTAGCTGGAGGTCTATAACGGCCATGACTACTGTGGGAGAGGGTGATAGGGAGTAATAATATATTGTAGAATAAGTACATCAGGATTCATAACAGGCATAAAAAAGGCGCAGCAAGCTGGGAGGATTTGAAATCAACTATCGAAATATATACCCTTGTGACATCTAAATTTTCAGACACTCGCGACTTTCTCCATAATACGAAGCCAGACTTTGCCATCGAGCATGCTGTGCTACTTGATGCCGCTGGCCCTGCTCGATTTCTGCTCTTCTTGCACCTTGCACGGCGTAACCAACGTAGCCACGGCGGACACTGGACATAAACCATCCACAAACCCAACGTCTCTGCTGCCGTCGTCGCCATCACCGTCACCAGCACCGCTCAAGGCGCCTTTGATTAACACTCCTGACGCACCTTTTGCAGCTTTGACTCCACTGAATTAGTTTAGCTGCATATAAATCACAAGCTGGGCTTTCCGCGCCCGTTCTGGTTGGTTGGCGCGCGAGTCATCCAAAAATCCCAGCCATCCACCACGCTGGGGGGCGGCCGTCCAAATCCTCGCATTCCCTGGCATCTCTTCATGCTCTCGCCTCTCTAGAGTGCGTCGCGGACAAAGGCGCAACCGTCTCAGGAGTTCCGGTATGACGAGCAGGCGGATCAGTTGCTGTCGCTAAGAAGACGAAGAAGACGAAGAAGAAGACTGTTTACCTCGAGCCCCGGTTGACTAAATATTTACTAGTTATCGACGGCCAGCTAGCTCGAAGACCTGACCAAAACCTGGCTCCGACCTGCGAGCGCCCTGAGAGCGGATGAAGGCTTGATAGCAGCCTCATAATCTGCCCTCTACATGCGGTAGACCCTCTACGGCAGCCGTCAAAGGAAGCCCTCAAGCGGCGTTGGCTAGTTACGACGGCCGGTGTGCAGCATCAGGGACATCAAGCAATAGCCGGAACGCCCTGGTTATTTGGCCATCCAGTTACGAGCGGGAAGCAGCACTTTCGAGGCCGAGAAGAGCTCCTTTTCCGCCTCTGTGACAATGCTTGTCGCCTTTCTCCTCTTCCTTATCGCCGAGCAGGTCTCCTCCACAGCACTACCTTCGCCGTTACACCAGTCCTCCTTTGCTGCTGGCAATGCTCCCGTCCTCATCGGCGAGAAGCCTGGTGAAGGCGGGCATGAGAGAGACCCAATCAGCGAGTGGTCCTCTACGATAGGAATCGTCACTGCGATTGTAGGCAATGTCCTTATCTCGGTTGCCCTGAATATCCAGCGTTATGCTCATGTTCGTATTGAGCGGGAATATGAAGGGAATATACTACGGCTGAGGGCCGAGTGGAAACGGACCTCATCGCCACCAAGACCAGACGGGCCGACGAGCAGTTACAGTGACTACGGGACGGTAGACAGGGAGAATGCCCGAAGTCAGGATGATGTCAGTGCAAGCCGGTATACTGATGACCCGGAGGAAGGTGGACGACAGCGACCACGCAAGGCGCACACTAACGGAAATGGACACGCTCATGCGCAAAGCCAGGACAATCAATCGTCAGAAGACGAGGGAGTCGACGACCTTTTGCAGCGCTCTTTCTTATCCGACCGAACAGCGACCTCGTTTGAGAAGAGCATAGCCGGTGTTGACAGAAAGTCATACCTCCGTTCCTCATACTGGTGGTTTGGCATAGTACTGATGACTGTGGGAGAAGCTGGCAATTTCCTGGCCTATGGATTCGCTCCAGCTTCTATCGTTTCACCCCTGGGGGTTGTTGCCCTGGTTTCGAACTGTGTGATTGCGCCGTTCATGCTCAAGGAGAGATTCCGCCAGAGAGACTTCCTTGGAGTTGTGATTGCTGTTGCTGGAGCTGTCATTGTCGTCCTAAGTGCCAAAACATCAGAACACAAGATCGGTCCGGATGAAATATGGGGTATGATTACACGCTGGGAGTTTGAGACATATCTCGGAATCACCGTTGTTTTGATTATTGCTTTGATGTCGATAAGCAGAAAATATGGGAGAAAGACTATCCTGATTGATATTGGGCTTGTTGGATTGTTTGGTAAGATGCTTTTCATAGTTCTACTTTTTTTCTATATTTGGGCTGACGTTGAAATGTATAGGCGGTTATACAGCCCTGTCTACCAAGGGAGTTTCTTCCCTTATTTCAAACACACTCTGGCATGCAATCACATTCCCTATAACGTATATCCTTGTGGCCGTCCTGGTGTTTAGTGCTGTGATGCAGATTCGATATATCAACCGCGCCCTACAGCACTTCAACTCGACGCAGGTGATTCCAACTCAGTTTGTGCTGTTCACCTTATCGGTTATTGTGGGAAGCGCTATATTATATCGTGATTTTGAATCTGCAACCGGAGAAAGGGTTGCCAAGTTTGTTGGTGGCTGTCTATTGACTTTCTTCGCCGTCTATCTCATCACGAGCGGGAGGGTCCAGAAGGAAGATGAATCTGAATCCGAGTCTGAGACCGATGAGGAGGAAGCTATCGGTCTTCACAACGAGGAACCATATCGAGACTACGTTGACTGGCAGCAAGATGGCGCACCAATACCCAGAAGACAGAGTACTGAGAGCACCGGCCCTGGTTCAAAGACAAAGCCTTCACCATCTCGCTCGCTCCAGAGCCTGGAAGAGGTCTATAACGAATCCGAGGATGAGGATGGACAGTTGACTCCGCGTGTCCGGATATCTGCTTCTCCCGGGTCTCTGCTACCCCCTATCTCAAGCTCCTCTTCGATTCTGGATCCCTCTCCACTGCCTGCTATTTCCAACCCCTGGGCAACCCCAAGTCATGAGAGAGAAGAACCAGACTACCTTGCTGTCACTCCTGGTAAGGATACCTTATCCCGCAGTGCAGACGTCTACCCTCCTCCGACCAATGTGATCTTGCAATTCCCGGCTGCCCCGGGTGCAACGGATTCACCTCCTCGAATTTCACCTCCCCAACTCGGTCCACAGACGCCTCAGGGAAGCCCTCGACGCCGCTCCCCAACCAGAGCAGAGCAGCATAGCACGCACAAGCACTCCGGTCAGCCTCTACGCACCCCCGGCTCAGTGCATCGAAACTCTCTTTCCCGATTCTCCCCTGGTCCGCTTCTCCCCCCGTTATCAGGCGGGTTAAGCGCTGTTGTTGCAGACTCTCTTCGACGGGGAGAAGGATCCCCCCAACAACTAAGGAGAAGCTTACGCGGAAGCACCAGGCACAAATCCAAGAATAGGGTACGAGCAGGTATTCCGCTTTACCTGGACGCAGCGCTTGATCCTCGCCCTGTGGCCGAGACTGAAGTCGAGTCAGCTGGTACACCGAGGGACGGGCCTCAGATATCACGATCAACTTCAACTACAGGACCAGATGCATTCCCAAGTGAACAGCAGCGGATAAGGAGTCTGAGTGATTCGTGGAGTGGCGGCCTATTGAACTTTGGAGGCAACTTACGGCTCAGCGGCCGTAGGTCAAAGGGGAAACTTCCCGCTGAGGGTTCCGAAGAGCCTACCAGCCGCCAGCCGGAGCCTTGAAGATATCCGTCGCCTTGGATCCGGCCCTGTTTATATGTACATCTCACGACTCAAACCATCCAGTATCCTCACCTCTCAGCCCGAAATCTCTCTCTTTTTTCCCTTGTTCGCCTTTTCTTTCGTTTCCTAGGCCCATGCTGGCCTTCTATTCTCCTTCTGTCTTTAATACATTTTAATACTCCGCTATAGAGCCCAGCAGGCGATGTATTTAATTATCATCTAGCGTTCCGAATGATGGTGGTGGTTGTTTTTTCCATTGTATTTTTTTTTTTCCCGTTGCTACTCTCGCTATTCGTGTTGATACTTGAGCGTTCATCAAAACAACCAGTCAGTCCTTTGATGCAAATAATCGATGAACGAGTGACTTAGATTCAGTGCGTGTGTGTGTACATAAGATTCTTGAAAAATCAGGCATGAACGATGATAAGCTAACCGGAAAAATCCATCTCAATCCCCTTGCTTATTGTTATTATTAGTATCTTCTTCCTCGGCTCTCTCCTTGGAGTCGTCCTTGGAAGGTCTTCCATTCCCATTCCCATTGCCAGCACCCTCACGTCTAACCCGAGCACCCTCTTTCAGCTTCTCCCATCGCTCTCTATACCTCTCGACTACGGCTCTAAGCTTTTCGTTCTCACGGCTGACTTTTTCCAGTTCCCGTTCGTTGTTCTTGATCAGCTCTTGTAGTTCCCTGATGCGCATGTCTGAGGCAGCACCGGGTACTGCTGACGACATGGGTTCACCGGTAGTAGAAGCTGCGGGGGATGTCTGGAGAGACGGTAAGATGGCATGCTGGTTGTGCATGGCACGTATGGACTGTTGAAGAGCGAGTGACGACGACTGGGCATTCACTTCCCACATATGTAGGCGTTTCGCCAGTGTGTCAGACAGATGTCTCAGAGCCTCGTTCTCCATATGAAGCTCCTCTACGGTTTTCAGGGATCTCGAGTGATCGCCTTTGTTCTTGCGTGGCGGTAGAGTGGTGCTTCGATCCAGCTTGCTGGCGGCCTTTTGTACGAAGTCTTCAGGGGAAGGGGGGTTTTCACTAGCATCGACAAAGTCATCTTCGACGGACTCCAGGCTGTCTTTCACAGCCTCCTTTTCTTCCCGAGAAAGTATGCCGGCATAGGATATCATTCCACCTGTTGTGGGCACTACGTAGAATGATTCAGCCGGGTTATGCGAGCCAAAGTGGCCGTCTTTGTCCTTGATGGCCCTCAATGCGGCACTGGATATAAGCTTAGACACATCTGGGTCCTTGTCTGAGAAGCTGGTAAAGTCCGCTACGGCGGCGTCGGTGTCAGTCTTTGTGTCTGCAGCTGGAGCCTTTTGTCCCGAGAGAAGTCGAGGCTGAGAGGCGCCGTCGACTCCCAGGGGTAAGCTAGCAAAGGCAAGGGGAGCAGAAAGCTTCGATATGACGCCTTCAAAGGTCGAATAGAAGCGTTTGAATGGTTCATCTCCGGTGATTGACTTGAGACCGGCTATGGCGGTGTCTTTGATGTAAGGGGAGACGTACTCCTGGGCCGTGACGCGAGTCGGGCTGATCGGCTGGCCCCAGGAGCGATTCCCTTCCCGAGAACGATTCTGCGGCGAGGCCTGAGGGTCAGTTGACAGCTGGTCAGCCCGTCTGCCGTCTCTCTGTCTCGCCTGGACTGGGGAACCTGCCATCCTCGCTCGGGCATTCTGAGCCGACACTGTAGGCGAAACGGGGTTGGCATGCTGTCTCTGGGAGGGTATGCCCCTTGCAGACGCTAGGTTTCCGGCAATGGACGAATTGCGAGACCCGGAGCTGGTCTGTGAAAGCAAGCGCGGTGGATGCTGTACATATTGTTGTTGTTGTTGTTGATGGTGATGGTGATGTTGCTGTCTGCTGTGGTGCTGCTGTTGGTACTGCGACCCAGCAGTCAACCCAGAGCCCCTATGCGCAACAGGACTGGCTGTTGGGTTGGGGGCCAACTCGTCTGCGCCGCCCGAGAGCTTCCGCTCTGCTTCTGCAGCGGACGGAGGATTCTCATGTTGGAACCGGATGATGGCAGCGAGTTGCTTGTGGTGGTCTTCGAGCAGTCGAAGCGTCCTCGCGGCCTATCAAACATCCAGATAGTCAGAACGAGACTTTCTCTCTCTCTCTCTTTCTTCGGTTCCTGGCTAGACAGCTCTTACACTTGGGTCTGTAATGGACAGTCGAGCGGTTGCAAACTCGCCCGCTGCGAGATCGTGCTCTTCGCTCGCGGCGACGGGGTTCGACTTGCGGGTCTCATGGAGCGCATTCCGGGCGTGAGTATGGGCCTGGACACGTAGATAGACAGACAGTTAGAACTAGAACACGCACACAGAGGTCGAGAGAGAGAGAGAGAG